CCTTACAAAATGTTATATATCCCGTGACTTAATATTTTTTTTCAAGATTTATTACTATTTTATTTATAAGAACATTTGCTTTCATGGATGTATGTCACCACATTTATACCTTGCAGGCCAGAAGGAAGGATCCCTCAAGAGCTAGAACTACAGAGTGTTGTGAACTGCAATGTGGGTTCTGGGAACTGGACCTGGGTCCTCTGGAAGATTAGTAATTGCCCTTAACAATTAAGTTACCTTTTCCGCATGTGAGTTCAGACTTTTGCCATTGTACAAGCACTTGCATTTTTTATACATTCCCAACACTAAACCCTCATCTCTTTGTTGGGATGATGCTGACTAATATGTTTTAGCCCAACACATCTGAGATTAGAAGAGCTGTCTGGACTTGGGTTTCACAATGCTAATTAAATACATTACAGGAAATACTCATGATCAAACTGGAGAAAAATGAGAACAGCGTCCAGAGTTAGAGACAGGTGGCACTTTTAGGATCCATACCTCCTCTTCTACATTGTCAGGTGTTCAGTTCACCTAGGGACCCACTGTCAACAGCCCACCATCAGGGTTATTTCCAGTCTACATCTGAATGTGCAGTACCACTTGCTGCTGTGGTTCTCAATCTGTGGTTTGAGATTCCTTTGAGGCACAAACAACTCTTTCACGGGGCTCACCTAAGACCATCAGAAAGCAGGTATTGACATTACAATTCATAACAGTAGCAAAGTTACAGTTAAGATGTGGTAATGAAAATAATTTTATGCTTGGGGGTACCCACAACAGTAGGAACTATATTAAATGGTCACAGCATTAGGGAGGTTGAGAACCACTGTCTTATGGACTTAATTTCCCTATAGTTCTGCTATCTTCTGAAAATCACTCATGTGTACTCAATGATATTAATCATTTTACCCTTCTTTTAATAAAATGTATTTACTCTAAAAGAAATTAGAACAGAAAAAAGACTATGTGATATAAAAATGTAAAAACCTTTGTAGCTAGTACAGTAAATTGGAGTTCTAACACACACAGGGGTTCATTCTACTAAAATATGAAATTAAAGTAGGAGTTTGGCTAAGTGGTGTATGTAGTTGCCTGAAGGAAACAATTTAGTTGAAAATTACTCATTTTAATAGTGGAGTTTTTACACTCTGTAGTAGATTCCTGAGATGAATAAGCCCACAAATTCCATTTTTGAATACCCTCTACTTCTCAACCAATTATATTGTGGCATGAGAACAAAAAAAAAATATGGGCAAAGGCTGAGGGCGAGGAAGGACTAAATGCATTTCAGAGTGAAGTCTATAATCAGAAACGAAACTTCCCAGTATCCATTCTGAGTTGTACAGTTTTTCGTCTGGATAATTTCAGTGCATGAGATTTTATTTTTGCAACATTTTATGAGTGAAAGTAAAAAAAAGATAAAGGAAAAATGTTTTTCGGAAATATTTACAAACCTAACAGGACATGTATCATGAACAGTGGACAGCAACTGGCAGCAGTCAGGCGTCAAGTCACAAGGAATATTGTGACCTGAAAACACGGTTTGCAGGAAACGCCAGTGGTCACTCTATGAATCCATTCAGAGCACTGGAGAACTGATTGGCTTCAAATGAAGGTCCTAACATGAGAACTAGACTACTTGCTTTGTAAAAATATATGAAATACAATTAAACACTATAGGAAGAGAAAGAACAAAAGATTAAAAGCAAAATCGCTTTCCTGTTAGTCTGTGGATAGAGTGAAGAAACGAAATTACTGCTGAGAAAACAGTCCTGGTTGAAATAGAGAATGGTAATATGCTAAGTACAAAGTTAAGAGTGCTAACACTGGTCTATTTTTATTTGATTCTAAAAACTTGGTCATCATCATTTAAGGAAATGATCACGTTAACGTAAGAACTAGAGAAAAAACGGATTGTGCCAGAAGCATTAGGGAACATTAACTAAATCAAGATAAAGTAGAAATGACGTGGCTTATTAATTTCACTAGAGTAGTTAACAGCTCCTGGCTGTTTCAAGGGCTAATGTAGAGATGCTGCATTCCTGGATATCAAGGGAGAGTTACGAGATTTTCTGTCTATTAAAAGCAAGCCCTGCTAATTAAGGGGCTGTCACCTAAACTTCACTGCCCAGAGGGAAGTGAACCATTGAACAATCAATTTACAATCACAGATAACTGAGGATAGAGAAGGGACGAGCATGCCTTCAGAGAGCAATTTTGTATCAAGATAATGAAAGCATGCTAGAGAAGATAGACCTTCAGAGATGCAGATTAGAGATTGCAGCAGCAGCTCAGTTTCATCTAAAATCAGGAACTTGACCTGTTGACCTCAGTGTTATAGTGGAGTTGATGCCACAAAGGCTGCCATTAAAAATATTGAAATTAAAATAGACTTCGTTTCAAAGGCAAAACTCTCTTTACGTTTTAGGTATTTGAGACATTTTTCTCTTTCATTTACAAATAATTCCAGGTCTACTGTTTTTACCCAATTTTGCAGACTCTGATGATACAGAAGCTTCTCTATGACAAACCTCTGAAACAGCACAGCTGTGCACATAAATAATCTTATCAGTCACCTCCTAACAAATGCCTGCAGGAGAAGAAACATTGCCAACATAATCACTCCAGTCTGATAACGAATGATAAAAATCAATCTTGGCAACCAATTTAGTGTGTTGATGTGTTTGGCATAATTTCCCCAGGATGAACGTGATGGTATTATAACCTACCATGAAGAGGATAATAGTCTTCACCCCTAAATATGACACACATCTACTTGGTTTCAATCTTCTCAAAATTGAATGGCATGTTTTTTGTTTTAAGTAATGTTATGTCTTTAAAATGAATGTCTAAAGCAAAATACACATACAGCTTTTCTTTGAGGATATTGCTACATTTTTTCCTAAAGAAAAAAAATTAGTTTAAAAATATCAGTTATCTGGACTCAATATTTTAAAGAAATGTTATTAAGACAATTCAAGAGTTCAATATTAAAACATCTATCAGGGCTTTAACACATGTCACCAAACTGTTATGAAAATCTGAATTAGAAGCTAAAAACTATTAATAACACTTCTTATAAAGTGAATTTTTACTTTTTACAAAAAATAAATAAAAATAGCAAACAGTAGTGATCCATATATAAGTCACAATAAGAACAACATAAGCAGTCAACTAGATTGCAAAGATACCTAGATTTTTAGCATTGGATTTGCATTAGCAAAACAATCTTGTTTTAAATTTACTTCATGAATGACTAAGCAATAATTAAAAATACAATATAAGTCAACCATGTAAAAAGATAATGTACACATGAAAGTTCAGTATTAGCATGATAAAACATACAGACCAACAAATTTACTTTAGTACAATAGTGTTGTCTTGAAATAATTAAATGACCCAGTGCTTAAATTTTTTTGTGCATTGCCTTAAAATATATTAACTGAAAAGTGTTCACTAACAGTGGCGTTTGAGAGCAAAAATGTTGGTGAAAGAAAACTATAGTAGTAACAGACTGGGGAGCCATGACATGAGGAAACAAAATAGCGTGAAGGAAAGCAAAGGAGTCCACTAGGCAGTGAGGTTAGAGGAATGATTTCAGGATGACAAAGGTGGAATGTGGTTTGTTCTCCAGAGCTGGAGGCTCTCTGAACTTGGCCCTTGTAAACAGGATAAACAGTAAACAGGAATCTTCAGCAGTGTAAGGAAGGAAGGATAAACCAAGGAGGTAAAGATCTAGAATTAACTTGCCCTACAAACACAGACACTTTTCATGGAGAACTCTTCCTAAAAATGTGGCTTCTCAAATTCAAAGGAAGTTAAAGGCTACTTTAAGCAAAGAAATTGTGTCATGTGAGTTGTGATTTTCCTAGCACACAAACCTCACAGAAATGACAAAAGAATTCTGTAAATCGAACATAGTTACATTTTAAAATACAGTCCACAACCCAAAGAACATAATAAAAACATTTTTGTCAGATTACCAAACACTTTATTGCAATTTACAGTTTTAATTCACATTCATTTTCTGTAAATATCTGTAATCTCTGTCTTTGTTCATCTTAGAATATAGTTTCTAAATATAATATGATCACATAGAAGTCTGTAGAAAAAATATAACAGACATCTGTATTTAAAGTGCAATGTCATATACATTTATCAGGTAACTTAATTTGCTAGATTTTTTTTTGCTTTTTGTTTTATTTTGAAATTACTTATTTTATATTCTGTCTGCCGCTTTCCCTCCCTCTGAACATCGCCTTTGTCCCCCCCCCCCAAACCCACCCAATCTTCCTCCAGTTTTATTCAGAAATGGCAGGGCTCCCGTGGATATCGATAAAACACGGCATATAAAATTGTAGCAAGACCACCCTGAACGACCCCATCTCATCTGATTTTATAAGCTGAGCAAGGTCTAAACTCGTTAGCGCTTGAATGGTAGATTATTTTAAATGAGAATGTCATTGTGATAACCATGAGATACAAACGACATGGAATCACTATGTATGTGAGTCGACACAGCATTTTTATCAGAGAGCTGAAAACAAAGTTAATTTCCACAGATTCGAGCATACATTTTAAGGGTTCAAATCCTACATAGGGAGTGTGTGAGTGGAAAGTGTATTTCATCTTATGATTTAGAAATACTGTTTCCCCCCCCCCCAATCTTATTTTTGGATGAGTATTCAAGTTTCTGTGAGTTTCCTCACAACCTAATATTCATGAAGTTAAAAAATAAGATACTTAATAAAAACAACTAGACAGAAGATAGCAATTTTGAGGTTGGGTTGTGTATAAGTTGCAGACAGGAGGACATGAAGAAAGCTTTAAATCAACACAAAGTGTGTTCAGAGTGAAATGGTAAGAAAAATCAGAATAATCAGAGACACAGAAAAGGGTTAACCTCTAACCTGCGTGGTAGAGTGCCAACAGTTATGCATCTATTCGGCTCCAGCAGAAGAAATCAAGGAAGAAAAGGAATTCTACCCAGAACTCACCTTTTCACTATGTCCTCCCCGTTCCAGCAGGGCCTTCCTTCAGCAGCAGCTAATTCAGCGATGCAAAGCTGATCAGCCAGGCCACCATAGAAAGACCTGTGCAGTCTAAGGCTGTTGATGAATTCTCTGAATGGAAAAAAAGATAGCATTAACCCATTAGAGAGGATCCACATAAAAATTACTGCAAATGCCTTATAGAGTGCTATATTGTAGTTATTTTTATATATTTAAGACATTTTTCTAACAACCAGTAAAGTTATTTTATAGAAGAATGCCATTTTAATATCTACATGTGTTTTTTTGAATAAAAAACTTTACTGGCTATGAGTCTTATTTTAAAAACAAAAGATTTTAAATACCATGTACACACACGTACACACACACACACACACACACACACACACACACACCTCTTCAGTCTCCCTAAATCCTTCCCAAGGCATTGGTATCTAAACAGAGAAACACAAAATATTTTCTACTCTATATGGAAAACATCAGGCTTACAACATGCTAATGAATTGCCTCCTGAATAAAGGTTTATTCAACTTATGTTTCTGAGTCTTTGGTAACAAAGAATACAGAGTAGTAAGTTTTTATTATACATGACTCTAAGCCCTAGATATAAAATATTCCAGAAGTACTACAGTAAAATTTAATAGAGTGAAGAATGTTTAGTATATCAACTAAGGTTTGCTTTTTTTATGTATTCACATTCTATTTCTCCTGCCCCTGAGGATTATAGAAGGGAAAATTCAATGATAATGAAGAATTTTGCATTTTTTTGCTTAGAAAGCAATGACTTTTGAGTTTTAAAATCAGGACCAGGAAGAACAAAGAAAGTTTGCTTCTCAAATTCAAATGCCAGTGTACGGATAAACACAATCTATGAAAATTAGGCAGATATAGTGGACACTTATAATCTAAACATAACAGGAAGCAGAAACAAAATATCTCAGAGGTTAGCTTGAGAGTTGGAATTGCCAGAATCAGAGATCGCTGGCTTCTGCAAAAGACTATCAACAGCTAAAGTGGAGAACACTACTTCACTTTCAGACCTCCCATGTATATGTGAAGCAAGATTAATAAAAGTTCAGAGACAGAAATTAGGGTTCAACCTAAGGTCAGAAAAGCAAAATAGCCAGCCACTAGCTCTTACCTCTGCCTCAGTCCAAATTGGTGATCCTATCTCCAGTAATCTCAGAAGGAAACTGTTAGTGAGAGTTGTCTCCTCCAATCTTATACTCCTCTTTAGTTCTGGAATAAAGGACATGCACCACTACTGCCTGGTCTCTATGGTAAGCTAGTGCAATTATTGGTAATGTGGGATGTCCTTCTGTATATGCATTGCTTTTAGTGGTTAATAAATAAAGCTATTTCAGCCAATGGCTTAACAGAGTAAAGCCAGATGGGAAACTCAAACAGGGAAATATAAAGAATATAGGTAGAGTTGACATATATCTGCCAAAGGAGGCATACACCTTGTAGCTGCCCAAGAAGCAAGAGGTAACAAACCATGAGCCTTGTGCTAAAATACAAAATAATAGAAATGGGTTAATTTAAGATATAAGAGGTAGCTAGAAATATTCCTGAGCTCTTGGCCAGTGTTGTAATTAATATAATTTCTCTGTGACTATTCTGCACTGGGCAGCTGGGAAACAAACAAGCAGTCTTTGTCTACAAATGGTGCCCTTGTGGGGCAACTACATCCACATAAAAACTGAGAACTTGGCAAGGAATTTTAGACACAAAAGAACAGAGAGAAGCACAGCTCTTGTAGCGACATATTTCTCAGATAGTCTCTGTTTGCTGGTGGTGAGCAGAAGTGCAGCTCCTTAAAAAGAAAGCTTCCTGATTCAGCATAAGCAGCTGAAACTGTACAGCTTCTTTAAGAGAAGACTTCCTGGTTCATGCTGGTAGAAGGAAGTCCTGAACTTAAATGGGATCTGTGAGCAACATGCTACAAATTGCCTAATGGATATATAGACCTACTGTGTCCCTGGAACTGGGTTGGTGTGCATGGCTTTCAGAGGCAATGAAGATGCCTTCTCCATGTTGGACTGGGTGGAGCAAACCAACAGGGCCATGGAGTTGATCCTAGTCATGTCTGCTTAGCAATTAAGAAAAAAAAGTACTCCTGGTCAGAAAGGAATTTCAGATACACAATAAGACAGAAAAGACAGATTCTGACAAAAATAAACCTCTGAATGTGTCACAGTGTTTTTAAAAAGTGTACATAAGTTTGGGAGAAAGAGGAAAAAGAGTATAGATAGACAGTTATAAAAAGAAGTAAATAGTCTTTAAAAAATAAAACAAAATCTTTAAAAAGATAGGCTAGAGATAGTCATAGATTAAAGGAGTAAAGAAAAATAAGCCACATAAAGATGAAATATAAACAGAGAGTCTGGATTATGTATACTACTGTGTTTTCTTTAGCTTTTGTTTATTGTGAAAGAGCTAAGTACAGACACACATTTCGTTGTACAGGCTGCTAAAACAAACCAACAAATATATTTTAAAGGTATCTTGACTTCAAAATTTGAATCTAAGGATATGTGACTTTGGAAAAAAGGTTTTGTTTTTTTTTTCCACAGAAGATAAGAACCTGTGGATTCTCTCCAGGATAATGTGGTTTGATGAAAAAAGTGGAATAAGATCCCCCCAAAAAAGGTCTCTGTGAACCTTAAAATTATTTCACAGAGCAAACAGCATGAAACAATTTGGAGAAAACTATGTCTAAATTCCCCAAATGATTGTTTATAAATGTTTCTTTTTTATTTAAAGTGGGTTGATTATAATTGGTTAAATGGTCATATTCAATTTCTCTCTAAAAAAAGGAGAAGAGAAAGATATGATATAAAGAAGAATACTTTATATTGGCATAGATTTTGATCCATTGATACAAATTGAAGGTGGATTTGCTATCCCATGTATATGCATTTCTCCTCTTATTTAAAATATTATATTTGTGTAGCTCATTTAGAAATGTAATGTATAATTATAAATTACAGATTAATAGACAGTAATTTTTAATCATCAAACTAGCAATCATGCTAGTTTGGTTTTCTAGATACATAGAGATATATTTCATTTAGATAATCTTCAACATTTCAAAGACTACAGAATATTGCATTTAAAATATTTTAAAAACTTGACTATTCACAAAGAAATTTTGAAGATATAATTCTTTTTCGATACCTATTTTATTATATGTAATTTTACAATGTTAAAGTTAAAAACCTTCCTTTTTATTTCGACAGAAAAGGCAGATGATGGGAGATGTCTTTCTCTATATGTGTTGCTTTTATTGGTTGATGAATGCAGGTCTTTTGACAGATAGCTTAGCAAAGTAAAGCCAGGTTTGAAATCAAAACAGAGATATGGAGAGAGAGTAGGGGGAGTCAAGGAGACACTATTTATCTGCCAAAGGAGTCAAATGCCATGTAGCTGCCCACAAAGCAGGAGGTAACAAACCATGAGCCTCGTGGTAAAATACAAAATAATAAAAATGTGTTAATTTACGATGTAAGAGCTAGCTAAAAATCTTTCTAAGCTGTTGGCCAAACAGTGTTGTAATTAATATAGTTTCCATGTGATTATTCAGGCCTAAGCATCCAGGAAATAAAAAGAAGTCTCTGCCTACAACTAGTATTAAAGGAGTATGTCATTGTGGCTAGTGGAATTAAAGGTGTGTGTCATTGCTTCCTGGTATTTAAGGCTAGCCAGTGTGATTGTTTTACTTTTTTGATCCTCAGGCAAGATTTATTTATTAAAATACAAATGAAATGCTACTACATATATGTGGACCCACATACATGCAAATACTAATACACACACACACACACAAAATCAAGATTTTGTGTGTAAAGTAAGAACTTTGAGTTGATTTCCAACTGAGGTCACTGAAGTGACAGCTTTCACTGAGGTGATTATCTTTCAATGAAGTGATATCACTCACTGAGATGACATGATTCATTAATACACACAAGGAAGGAAGAAACAACATTTCTTTAGTGTCCCACCCCCTAATAACTTATTGTGTTCAATGTTTTTATCTTTCCTGATACATTCTCTAGCCTACTTTGTGTGTATGTGTAATGTTCTCATATTTTGAAGTTTCTTATCTTTTTCCTGTTTTAGATAAACTGTCTAAGCAGGAAGGAATTCTTGTTTGCTAACTTTGCTTTATTCATTGCTTTACATCTGAGGGCCATGATGGTAGCACAGAGTAGATCGTATCAGGAGTCATCAGCGTAATAAATGACCAAATATCGAAGAACTAAAAAGTGTTTGATTTGGTATTTGGGGACAATTCCTATTGAGAGAATCAAGTGCTATTTTTCAAACTTCATGAGTGTGAACATCATCTACATTTCTGGCCATGATTGAGATGTAGACCTAATAACTCCAAAAAGATTCGAAAATTCTGTATTTCATAAAGATTGTCTGATGCTCTTGATGCTATTGGTTCAAGAATTATGAGTGTAACACACTATGTCCTTAAACACTAATCTAAGGACCTTCACAGCCTGAGAGATGTCTGTGAGCTGCCCATGCCCTAGCACATGGTCCCACACTCATGAATATACAGACGACACTAATTGGACTCTGGGTTTGTTGTTATTTTTGTTGGTGCTGTTGCTTCTGTTATTGTTTTTAAGGAAGAGTAGTACCTAAGGTAGGGATATAACTGGGAAATGTTTGGGGGAAGGGGTCAGGAGATTTGTATTTGATATTGTCTTAGTTATTGTTCTATTGCTATGATAAGACCACCATGACCTAGACAACTTTTAAAAGTGCTTAAGATTTCAAAGGGTTAGAATATGTGATGGCACACACAGATATTATGGGAGAACACCTGAGATCTTTTGACCCACAAGCTAGAGGAACAGTGAGAGAAATTCAATGTCTTGAATATTTTGAAATCTCAAAGCCTGTATCCAGTAAAGCCACCTCTTCCAAAAAGGTCCCATCTCATAATCTTTTAGAAACTGTTAATTGAACTGTAAATCAAATATTCAAGACATGTAGCTATGAGAGCTATTTTCATACAAACCTCCAGAGATATATTTAAGATACATTGTATGTGCTTGAAGTTGTCAAATAATAAATAAGGTATTATTCCAAAA